AGAGAGAGAGAGAGAGAGAGAGAGAGAGAGAGATTCTTTGATAAATATTTCGCTCTCTTTCAAATCGGGCTTGGATACGTTGTGGGCAAACACTTAAGATAGCGATATTTTTATCTTCTTTGAGGATTGAATCGAATAGAAGGGGAGGAGTAGCCCGGGAATACGCAAATATTTGCCCCGACGCGAACATCGCCATTTTTTTCTTTACAGTTTCACCTAGGAGGATAGATTGTAAATTTGATTTACGCATTCAAATTGATATTACTCTGTGTAACTGGGGTAAAGTTTATATCGGGTACACAAACTTCATCGCCGTGGATATGCGTTTATACATTTCGAAGGAGAACGTGCTCTCCGATTTTTCAAATTTTATCTATCCTTATTAACATGATCGCGAACGCGTGCATAAATATATATATATATATATATCAAGGAAATCTGAAGAAAAACCTGACCAGAAGTTCGTAGAAACTTTTCGAAAACTTTTTATCAAGCGCGCGTTTAACTTGAATTTATGCCAGATAATTCTTATCGAAAAGTTGATATATCGATAAATCGTATCTTTGGAGCAAATATTTTATCCTCCGAATTTTCGTGAATTTTTTGAACAAAATTTTAATGACCGCGCTAATTTACAATAATACTTGTCAAACAATTGATGAGAGTATCTAAATGAAACACGGTTACGCTATTACCGTGTAATTTCAATGTTTGAAAAAAGAAAACTGGGGGAAAAAATAGTGATAAACGTTTGTTAAATACGTTCCGGCGAAGCGGAAGATAAATCGGCCACGATATTAACAAGTTGGAAACCCTATCTCTCTATCTCTCTCTTCCCTTCCCCCCCTCCCTTTCTACGACACCACTTCAACGTTGATCAAATATCCTTTTATATATGAATTATACCACTTACGTTCTTTTTATCCGCGTATGTACGATATCCCTTCGCATAATCCGTTCGTTAATTTCGTTTGTAAAAGGTACTTGGACAAACGGCGAACAAAACTCACTTTTTTTCTCTCTCTCTCTCTCTTTCTCTCTTTTCTTTCTCTTTCCTTTCCACAAGTGTATACAACGACGTGAAATTGCCGCGGTAATATCCGTTACGACAACGATTCCGAATAAAAGTGTGCAGTCCTCTAAATAAACTCGGCTGCCAAGGTTCAAGCGACTACGCTGGTGGATACGTAGTATTCGACATTGGTCGAATGTTGTTAGTTTTGTTTTTCAAGCTACACGAAATAGGCAGAACGGCTGCTCGCTTACCGACGAGCGAATGTGTGTTGTTTCGTAACCGGGACGGTTTGCAAGTCGAAGCAAGGTCAGAAGTGAATCGCAAGAAACGGTGAATGTATTTAAAAAATAACGGTTTGTTTCATATTTCAGAGAATTTTGAACTTCAAGACCTTGATTCTTTACTCTTCGCAGTAGCCTTCAAATAATCTTCAATTTTCATCTTGACCGTTATCCGTCAACAGTCAAAGAAGTTCAGTTAAACGTTACGTTACGCGTACCTGTTTTACTCGTTGAACGTGAAGTTTAAATGATCTCAGACGCGAATGGCTATTATTTTCACATGTTCGGCTTTTCCACAGGACAGTGGATAGTACTGTCCACCGATTAACGCGGATACTGTGAAATGACGCGACCCGAAGCACGTTTCGAAGCTACACGTGGGTGGAATCCGGCCTAGATTTTTCATGAACCCCTTTTCCTCCGCGAAATGGAATAAATTAACATCCGAAATCTCTGGCTCTTTGAGGCGGCTGCCCCTGAGAACTCCAATAAAACTGGCGTATAACGATAAATAGAATGGCGAAAGGAGTGGCCGCGGCTTTACCCTAGCGCTTTAATAAGCGTATATCCGACGGAAAGTTTTCAATCGAGGAGAAATATTGGCGTTTTAGTTTTTTACGATAGAAAATTGAGACTTTGTAAAGTTTTCGGCGAAAATACAAATGATTTATTCCGCGTATATAATTTTTATATAACATATATGATAGATAAGAAATCACGCGTTAAAAATAACAACTTAATTAAACAACACGATAATTGCTTACCTTACACAATAAACGTTACATATTGGCGCAAATCTCGTTCAAAATTAGCTCAAATCGAGCAAAATCAGCTCGATCTCGATACTCGGTGTGAAGAGGCTCGAGTCGTATCGTATTAATAAACATTGTACCAGGATACATCCGTAACCTACGAGTGTAAACTACGTACTAGTTCACTAGTGGCAAAAGGAGGTCTTTCGCTAGGACCATTTATCCCCACTTTCGACGCTTTGTTTACAATCGTACATCGCACGCTGTACAGCAGTAGACTAAAAGAAATATTTTCGAAATTATCTATAATATATCTATAATATATCTAGCTTATTCGTATACGTTACAATTATTATCTTAACTTATTCGAACGCGAAATTATATTTATAAATTAAACTATTAATTTTATTTGTATTAAACCTACACATATTACAAGTAACAATAAAGTTTATTGCTTTTCGCAATCCGATTAATTCGTGCGTGTGAAAACAGCAGCAGTTTCCTCCTACATTAACCAAACGAGACTTCTTTCCGAGCAGGTGAACAGTTGGTGGCTATATGAGCAGGTTAGTATGACTGTGAGGACTGCGTTGATACTTGCCCTCGACGCTGCCTCGAAATTGTATTAGCGTCGACTTGGGTCCATGCAAGAAGTAGGCCGTTCCAGTTGCACTCTCTCGCGTAGAGGGAAACGCGGCAAAGGTCAAAAGTGCATGAATTGTTGCGAAGTGCCTCGGTCCTCCACTCGGTAAAGCGGTACAATGCGATCGGTGACCCCGTTTCACGTTGTCGGCCTGAAAACCACCGGCGACTGCTGACATTGCTGAAAAGCGACACGATCAACTATATATTTCTTCGCCTTTATTTCTCTCTCTCTCTCTCTCTCTTTCTCTACTTTTTACTCGCTCCTTTCTTCCTCCTTAGCGGATCGAAACACCGGGAGAATACTGGAGATAAGTCGATGTTCTTCCAATTTTTCCAAGTCCTTGTTTCGAACACGCGCGTTTCTCTTACGTTTCGTTCGCGGAATAGATGAATGGAGTAGTGTAGAATAATAACGAAGCGGTATACGTTGTTTGAATCGATGATAAATTTTCCTTCTTTTTAAAAGATACGATTTTGAGGATACAGTTAATAGGGGGGAAAAAAAAGAAGAGGAGAGTGGAAAATAAGATTTATACGTGAATGAAATTTATCACTCTTGAACGTGTCGCTTTATGCATTAGCGATGAGATAGGACATGATTCTTTCGAGCGTTATTTACGATGTCCCTTCTCGTCCTTCCAAGTGAGATAGATTTCAACGTTTCCTCGTTTTTTCTTGGAATTTCGGAATTATCGAATAAAAAGCTAGTCGACTCGATGGGAACAAAGAGCGACTCTTTCGTAAACAACGTGATCAACAATGGCGCGCAGTTTTAAAAAGAAATGGTCAAAATATTTCAAGAACACGACACATTTTCGCGTCACGTCAAATTCTTTGTCACACGCTCACGCGCATCGTGAATTTAAACGAAGATTTCCCGCACGTTCTCCCCAAATCTTTTTCTCCTTCTCTGATCTAACTAAAAAGTCATTTCGAAAAGTAATTTCTTTCGTCCATCCAACTCGATCCAAATACGAAAAATTGGTCACAAGCGAAAATTTACGTTGCAATTATATTGCCTGTTTCCATTATTATTTTTTTTTCGTTTTTAATTGCCACCACGTCAAAAATTTATAACGAAATAATTAATCACGTGTATAAAAAAAAACTTTACATCGTAAATAAAGGGTCAGACGATTTATAGGGGAGATTCGTGTACCGGGCGTGTGTATATAAATATTCGCCTTAAATTTATTTTCGTCATGCATACGTCGCAAAGGTGTAATGTGGTTATAAATATAATCATATTTCACGAGAGGGGCCGTTGCATAGTAAAGAGGTAAGTTGTTTACCGTAATGCATAAATATTTATTCTAAATTTTGCAAGTTTACTACGATGATGATGAACGGTTTACTTTCGAATCTCTAGGGATTGATGGAATTAATTAATAATCGACGATACTGATTTACATATAAAGTAAATTGCCAACAACACGGCACTGTTAAACGCAAACATAACAATAATAGAATAAATTAATATAATTATCGATTAACATGGCGATATCATGATCGTAACATTTTTAATTTCGAAATT